TGAAATTTTCAATAGAAAAGGAATATTTTCTCAATATCTTTTACTCGTAGTCCCATTCCCACGAAACTATTACATAAAATACAATACATGTAAATACATTCTTTAGTCAGATTTTGCCAAAAAATAATATTTATCATTAAGTAACTGTCAATCTCAAAGTAATGTTGTTTTTAGGGTGCAATTAGAGATGGCTTCAATCATTTCTGAGAAAATGTCCCAGAAAAAACAGTTAAGAGATACACAAGATGCACGAAAGAGATACACACTCTTCAAGGACTCTTTATACAAAAGTAAAGGAATAGTAAATAGGTGAGAAAAAATATAAATTAAAATAGTATAAAGATAGGAGAAAATTATTTCATCTAACAAAGACTGCCTCAAAGACAGCTCGTATTTCTTCAAACGTTTCTATAAAACACTTTGACAACATTCTCAATTACATGAAGTTATGAATGAAATATATAAAAATCAGTGTTTGTTCGCATTTTATGCGCTGCCGTACCGTTCATCCGATTGCCATATAACCTTGTCAAATTGGTGCTAGCATCTGCGGGAAGATTATAGGATTAGTACATTGCGAATGTGCTAGTCTGTCGCACATAGACGTGTGTTGATGATTTTGTAGGCTGATTCAAGCGCCTCTGAACATAAGCTCGACGCACCCCGCCACACTCTCAAGTATTAAGCGCGTCTTTGCTGCATTTTCTGCCCCTGTTAGTGTGAATAACCGCCGGAATTATTTCTTGCACGTTATCTCGGGCAAGTAAATTTCTCCAAGACAGTGCCATAGCGAATGCATACTCAAACTTCAGGGAGAACGTTTTAACAATAGGATACTTAACAACCATGTCCAAACCAGGACATAAAACAAACCCATACTCACGAGAAGGGGGGCCAATGATGAGTTAATTTTTTAAAAAAATATATTTAGACATTTCATTTCGCATATCTTCACATTTATAATGAAAAAGATGTACTTTTGCCGTATTTTGAGAAAAAAATTAATCTCTATACAGTATTTGAGTAACTGTGAGTGAGCGTGAGCGCGTGTATGGATCCGTCACTCACGGCCAGACATATGAAATGTCATTCGACGCGTCTCGGTCTCCTGGTGAGGAATTGATAATTTGTTTTCAGATTCGGTCAGAAGATTCTAAAAAAATTCTCAAAACGTGTTTTTGTGCGTTTTAGATCGGCTATCATAGTGAGTATGCCGGGAATTAAACCAACGCCACCCAGATAGATCTATATACTAATAGGCTACGTTGAATGCGACGAAGTGAATGAATTTAATTTGCATTCGTATTAACGTATTTTTAAAAATACATTTGCAAAAACCTACGAACAAGATTGCCTTGGAACGTATTGAACTTGAACTTCAGGTAAATGCGGAGAAAATCTTACCATGTGTTTGCCAGCATTACTTGAAATCTATAGAAGCGTAGTTGGCAAACGGAGAACCTTAGGCCGTTGTCCATCTAAAACGATTTTATTTAACGTAAGAAAGAAGAAAGTTGTCATCGCTGCGAAACGTATGTATGAACTTTGGCACAACAGCTCTTTACGAGCTAAGGACTACCAGCCGCTGCGAAACGGATTCAAAAAAACATGACTAACCGCGTGACTAACTTCTCTGTGATCCTAGCGTGAACAAGCGTTAGAAACCAATAACTGTGCGTTTACAAGTTTTGAAAAAGTGTGAAAGTGAAAATACACGAACAACCGTTGGGAAAAACTCTTTATATTATATTCTGTAGGTATACTTTTCCATTATAATGTAATACCAAGTGTATATTAAGAGAAAAAAAGAACCGGTTTTCCCCAATGAATATTTTCTGTTATATTCAATGTTATTAGAGTAATTTCACTTTTCACCAGCTTTTATAATAATAACAGCGAATCCGTTGTTTTAATCATAATGTCGGTACCATTATCAAAAAAATTGTTTTTGGATTGGATAACGCAATCATTTTTGTTACAAATGTATATCACTCAAATAAATGCATGCAACTGTTGCAGCCATTTTCAAAATGTGATTTAAAATGGTAAAAATGGTTTTAATTTTTTTAACTACAGCTCAACAATCGTAAAAATCTGGAAAAATGCACGCTTTGTGTTTTCAGAAGAACTTTTGAGATTTTGTTTCAAGCCTCTTCCAGGGTTCTAAAACAGTAAAAATTATTTTTGTTAATTTTTTTAAAAAAATATTTGCAATTGAATTTGGCGCTGAGAAATTATCAAAAAATGTTTCTCTGATAGTACAAATTGTTTTGTTATTTTTCATATTTTTTCAAGATAAAATAGTGTTAAGTTAATGTTAAAATTAAAATAAAAAGCACGCTTCTGGCTGAGGAGGGGTGTGAATAATGGGACAGGGGTTAAAAATTCTTCAAAAATATTATATTTGTGTTAAAATTACAGTGTAACTACTTGTATACCATTTGGTTTAGGGGAACATTTTTACCATCCTATGCGAGGAGACCCTTTGCCTCCCTCCCCCCCTCAAGAAAAGATTCAAAATCTTGCCTCTGTCGCTAGTGGACAATGAAATAATTATGTGTCATTATTACCAACAATATTGTTTGTTACATTAGCAGCTTTCGATGACTTAGCCATCATCATCAGTTTTCTAGCGCAAGAAAAAAAACAACATTAAAACGTGAATAAAAAAACAACAAAATTATAATAAAAAGATTACTAATAATTTACAATTTTTAGAAAATATAATTAACATTTTAAGAACTGAAAGAAAGAAAGGGGAGTGTTACTTCATTTTAATACTACAAAAAAAGTGAATGAAATTGAATTTGAACATGTAAAATTTGAAAAGGAATATATGAAAAGGTACCTGCTCTATGGAAGCCAAAAAACGACTACGAGGGCTTGGGCGAGCCAAAGGGCTTAATATTGTAATAAACAACATTGTTGGAAATGACGACTCATACAATCATTTCACTGTAAAATGCCAACGACTCTCCACAATACTAATATCTAGTAGACAAGCTTGAAATTACAGCGAAAAGAGGCGATGAATTCGGATGTCATAACAAAGATGCATCATTTTAATTTAACTTGTGTTTCTTTGTTGTTGTTGTTGTTGTTGTTGTTTCCTTTCTTCAAAGAAAATTATGTACACAGAAATGTAATTTTTATAGGTTGGTTTGTTAATAAATACATTTTAAAATATACGTTATAATTTATTATATTCAAGTGCAAAAATGCTTCCAAAGAACTCTGACGCAATTTCTTGTTTTCAAGTGAGCTTCAAAAGGCACATTTTTAGAAAAGTTCAATTGACTTTTTCTTTATTTATTTGTGTGTTTATTTATTTATTTATTTATTTTATTTATTTATTTGTTTGTCTGTCTGTTTGTTTGTGTGTTTGTTTGTTTGTAAAACCAGAATGTTGGGAAATATGAAAAAAATATTTTTTATAAAACAAAATATATTCTATAAGGTATAAGTGCGTATGTACCACATTAATAATACTTACAAGTGCCCATAATAGTTTGCTTTCTTGTTCCAACTAACTGAAAATATAATTGTTACAATACCATTTAAATTAATGCATGCAGATGCATATCCACAGGTGTGGAGAGGAGAAAATGGGAGATATCCCCCTCAAAAAAACAAAAGAATTTCAGTAAGTATTAATTGTAACTTCTCACGAAACTTTCAAGTAACAAACAGAGCTAAATTATGTAAAAAGGACTCAAATTTTCGGAAAATTGTACGTGACCCGTGACCTTATTTCAAAATCTATCTTTAAGGAACAGATTTCATTAAGAGAAAAAATCTCTATCTTTAATATTTTAGTTGTAAGAAGACTCCGAAAAAATGTTCAAAAAATGCAATTTTCCAAAAACTATGTTTTTTAATGAATGTGAGACCTGCACCATTCTGTTAAACGTTCTTCATACTATCTAACAAAAAAAAAATCGTAACTGATGGAGCATAATTTTTAATTTGAAAAATGACCCAGGGCATTCATGTAAAATACCCTCCGGAATTGAAATATCGGTTTTAAATTCCAGGGGCCATACTATCAGCCAGATAAAATAGGGAATATCAATTATCAAATCGGCCGATTGGTTTAGCCGCTAGCATTGTTCACAAACTGACAGACGTTTCACAGTCATTCGATTTTTGGGTATCAAGGACCTTCAAAACAATGACCAGAACCCACCAAACCAGTTATCACAAGTATACCATCCAATGTGAAGGCCCCTGAAGAATAAGAATTATAAAGGAAGCTTCGCATGGATCTCATGGTAATGGAAATTGGTGGCTGGACAAGCAGTTGTCCCAACGTCTTTCAGAGTTGATATTAATCAGAAAGTATCCTATGAGAACAATCGTGAGGTAGTGTACGTGAGAATGTTCTTGAGAGAAAATGCATGTTTTTGAAAAGTTGAAATTAGTAAGATATAACAAAGGTGATTGGTGAACTTAAAACTACAAGTCTAAAAGTATAAAAAGAAATGATCTAGAAGTTATAAACAGAAGTCAATAGAATTGAAGATGTTTAACTCTGCGTACAGGTATTTCAACAAAAACTTTATTAACTGCTCAAACTTGTGAAAGAAGTTATAGAAAAAAACAACTGATTACTATTTTTGATTAATTTCAGGTCATTGTTGAGGTGAATTTCAGTGCGTTTCATTTAAGGTTTGTTATCAATAGAGAGTAATAAATTTATAGGTTTAAAGGAACAGTAGTTTGTCTAGTTCTCCTTGTGTGTGTGCGCGGGAGCTTTTCCATGAAACATGTTTAGCTCAATTGAAATCTGAATCTTTTTTTTCAATTTTGTCGGTAAGAGTATCATTCTAACTTATGATGTATATTGTGAGAATTATCAACCCTACATTTTTATTTTCAGGGACTATTTAATTTCCCATTATAAATTTTCTGAGAATAAATCGAGGAAATAAAAGATCTCTACAAACCTCCAACATACAGACATTGTCATTGGATTAAACTAGACCAAATAGGACACATGTGTTGCCAATTAGGTTAATTTTATTTTGAAATGCTTTAACATAATTCGTATTACGCTCTCTCACATAATACATATAGTTTTCATACATATAGCAACACTTTATTATATTAAATAAAAGATACATTGGTAAATGTTTAAATTAGTTTGCATTTTCAGATCAGAAACAACCATTCATGAACAATATTGGACCCTATAGCACCTTTCCCTGCCAAAAAAATGTATAAAAACAAATTCTCAAACATACAAAGTCAGTCCATATTGCTGGACTAGAACATGTATTACAAGAAACAATTATTTCAACATTTCTTTTAGAAATTACAAATTGAATAGTCTTTGGCTTTTTTTAAAAATTCTTTGATCTTTTGGATGATTGAATTTATTCCAAAATATGAAAACTATATTCAGCACAAGCATTTAAACAGTCCATAATAACATACATTCATAAACATAATTTCAATGCCACTACATTGAAGCTGATTCTTGTTCAGCAAGACAAAATGCTGAACCACAAATTTGTAGCATATTATTGTTTCCATTAGTATTAAAATATGGCATTCAAACCCCACCTAATAAGAATGTTGCCATTAATGTGTAGCAAGGAAAATACAAATATTTAAAAAAACAATACCGTAAGCAATCCAAATAAACTCAATGTAATCTGCTATACATACAAACTTGTACATACATTTTAAGTGAAAAACAATTAAAAATAAATATTACTTTATGAAAACAATTAAAATTTCATATGTAAGCAGATTGACTAATAATGTTAACTTTTTTCCCAATTACAAGACTATGCAGTTTTTAAATGACTTAATAAACCTGTTTGATATATATCAGTTAGCATCAACAAATATAGGCTACTAATATACTCTAAAAATAATTTATACTCTCATATCTATCATGCCAAGGAGTATTGATAAAAATTTGCTACTTTTCAGATGCTAGTTTTGAGTTTCAATTTCAGGTTGAGATCTTGGTTTTTCATATTTTATAAGTTGAAGCTGATGTGGCACATATTTTAATAGCTCTGCTACTTTAAGAACCATGTACAGATTGTGTTCTGTGATATGCACTGGAACAACTTTCAGAAATAAACTCTTTCAGAAACAAACCATCTAGTATAAATAAAGAGAAAACTGAACATATTATATGTTAATTAATGATTTCAAATCATTGTTATAGAGTGAATAATCAGACAACACAACTTATCTTCTTATGGTTTATGATCTTACACACTTTAGTTGTTTTTGTAAATATGCTTGCACCCACTTCTCAGTGACCTGCTGGAAATTTAATTTATCTGGCATTATACAAATATCAAGAATGACTTCAAATCCAGGGTCATATCTCATTTTTAGAAAAAAGTTGACATTTCAGCTTATTTACAGGGGTAAAAATATATAAGTCAACATAATATTTTCTATACTTTACCTTACACAAAATATTTTCAAATTGTTATTTTAACCTGAACAGAATGGATGAAAATATTATTTTCTCTAAGGTACAAATCTGTCAAAAACATACAAATCAATTCAGGATGGCCAATTTTCTTCTAGATAAACTAGTGACTTCTCGAAAAAATACACAAACAAATACAGTACCTTTGAAACGTGTAATAAAAAGGAAAATTTGAAGTACAAGATGGTTAATTAAAACATTTAAATAGAAAATTTATTAAAAAGTAACATTTATGGCAATTACAAAAACTTTAGATTTACATAATACACTCTTTAAACAATGAAGTCAACATTTAGAATCGATTTTGTTTCATTTAAAATCAATATTATAATCATTATTTCAGGTATTTTCTATTTTCATCTTTAGTTAACTTCCAATGTCTCTTTCAATTAATTTTTGTAAATTAATCTTTTCTATTAATTTACCAAACATAATTATTCTACTGTAATCAGAAATGAAATGTTAATGAAATGGTTACAGGTTGATAAATAATAGCAGGATGCAAGAGGTGTATTAGACGTTTAGCCATGACTTAATTAAGTTATTTTTACATTGAGAAGCTCACATAATTGCACTCGCTTAATTATAAGAAAGGTAGCTGCGTCCTCTAAAATAACTTCATAAAAATATATGGATATTTATAATCTTAAACTGATATTTCAGTTGATGAAGATAATAAAAATAATCTATCAACATGCTGTAAAACAATTAACATTATGTTAATGTAATTCTTTCCAATTTCACTTCAGCTTATTTTCAGAGGTACAGATATACAAGTCTAATTAATTAAAACATTAATATATTTGATTCACCAATATCCTAACATTAAATGTTTATAATAAAGTAAAGGCTAGCACCACACTGTAGTACCACTGTATTTATAAGTTACAATATTGATCCTCCACGCGTTATCTCTTAGCTACCTACAATTAAAATTGACATGATTCCCTTTTTATGAGATGGCTTTGATTCCTTATGGCGAGTTAAGAAACAAAACATACAATAAAATACCTGCATTAATAATAATGAAGTTTTGTGATATAACTGTAACCTATGTGACTATATTTTGTTGTAATACAAAGCCTAGAACAAATGTATAAAAAACTGTACAAGAACATATGCATTTTAGATATAAGGCTTACTTTAAGAATCTTGCCTAAAATCAACCACAAACCTAACTCCAAAGAAAATTTAAAAAAATTGAACCAATTTCTCATCATATTTTAGGCAAAACATGAAGCTCAGAGACAAAGACCACCACACTTAAGTATTAACTGAAAAATAATGTATAATTGGAGTAATTTATTAGTCTCAAATTTTGGCCCCAATTGATCTATTATTAACTGAAACATACAAACTAAAAAGACGGTACATGTTAACTTAGTATCTTCATTAGCAATAGATTGCTTTTGGGAATGGGAAATATAGATCTTAAAGTAAAAATCTGCCATTACAGATATTAAATACTAAAATTTTCAAACAAAAGGGTATTAAAGCCTCCTACTTATTAGTAATAAAGACTGGAAAAAACTGGTACAAATATTATATAAGAAACTGACGGATGTTTTCAATATCCATATTTTGGTGGTAGGAATCAATGGAGGCTCACTGGACAAGGAAATAAGGGATTACATCAAACACATTTCTATTTTTTTAAGTCAAGAAATGATATAAATTATCTTTAAACTTCTTCTACACAATTCCCATCTGTAGAGCAAATAGTTCACTTGAGATGTGATTTACTTCATTGTTCTGTGGATCAGTCTCTTCAGTAAATATAAAGAGGCATACAACAAGTGATAATTTTTGATCAAATGTAAGACACTTAGAGATACACGACATTAATTCACTAATGTAACACTGATAAAATTTACATTATTTAAATGTCATGATAAACATTTAGGAAAATCATTAATGCTCGAATAACTTCAAGGTTTTCAGGCAAGAACACTTGAATGCTATGAATTTTAAAAACTTTTGAAACAAAAAGACAAAACAAAAACAATAAAGCTAAAAAAATTGAGGTTCACACAAAATTACAACGGTACACTACACTTTTCACAGAAAAACAGACAAAGAGATAAATTTCATGAATAGTACTACTTCTGATTATAATAGTACTATTTCTGAAGTCACATTTAAAAACACACTTATAAAATATCTTCTCTAAATTAATCTTTGTATTCATAATTATTCGTCAATAAATATATAACATAGATATCGCACACCCTATTTGTTTTTCAAAAAGGTAATAGAAGACTACAATGGTGCAACCGCAGTGCTGTTACAACAGATTGTAAAACCATGAAAATACAATCTGAAATGTTATCAAGCATGCAAATTGAACATAACAAACAACTTATTTAACTTTCCATATTATTAATGAGAAAGAAATTCCAGTAAAACTGTACTCAAAACAGGCTGTATATTACACTGCTTCCAAATTGAAGATTGAACACCCGTAGTGCACTCACCCTGCATTTGTAACCTTAAGAGCATGCAATCAACTGCATGATAGTAATAACAATATTTTTTTTTTGTCAATAAGAATTGTTTCAAACAATTATGACAAGTCAATTTGCTAATTGTATTTATGTCTAATGCAAACTATATAAAATCACAATCATCATTGCATTGAATCATCGAATTCTCAACAATTTTCTAATCAATTAATATTCTTACAAAATATATGAGTTTGAACAGAAAAAGAAGTATCTTTCAATAATCCAATAACATTATTAAAATTATAAATTCATTAACTGTTTCAAGAAACTGATCTATAGTTTCTTCGAAATAGATTTTGTAATGTGACACCTTACATGCATTGATAATAAATAAATAATTGGAGAAATGATGAAACCCAATCATTAGAAAATTAGTAAGTTCATTTGATTGTTTATTTTTTGAAATTTCAAGAAGTTGAAAGTCTCTCTGTATAATAAACCATTTTCCACAGCAAATCAGCTACAACAATTTGCTGGTAATGTTACAAATGGTTATCTAAATTAGTTTCGTTCACAAGTGAAACTTCTTGACTAAAAATAACCTCGCAACATTTGATCTTCATCGACTTTTGATCATGCTTTAAACATGACGACAAACATGAAATATTGGAGTTAATTTTCTAAGTGTTCAGGAGCTCAGTCTTTGCAAGAAGTTAATTGACAAAATGAGATGCATTACATACATCTTTCCTTGGAGCTATTAAAAAAAGATGGAGGAAATTTAAAAAAATTACTACCCGGTATCTTTCAGAAATATTTCTTTTTCTTTTTCTTTTTTTTTTTTTCATGGATGTTTTTCATCCACAAATTCCGGTAAAATATCTAAAGGGCCCTTAAGCATATAAATGAATAACCATAAATATCTAATATTCATATCTAAAACAAATTTGTAAAAAATTAAATATAACCTTAGCAATTTTGAAAATGAATATTAACGACTTAGGTATCATAAAACATTTCATTAAAATACAAAAATTAACCAATTGTTATTTTAATAAGATGTGAGAAGAATAGTGTTCAATGTTTTACCCACTTTGTAAACATTCCAAAGTACAGTAATTTTTGTTTAAATTTCAATACTCATCCTAGAAAAGGTGACAGACTGATATTGACAGATAATAGGAGCTGTGGATTATTAGAACACTTGAGTTCTAATAACGATACTGATCTGAGTTTCATCAAGCTTTACTTTAGACAATCAAAGCAGATCAAATATATTTACACATTATGAAATATATAAAAATCTGACTTACAAATATACTGCTGCCTACACTCTAACAAGGGCCCTAAGCAAGTGTACAATATCTGCTTATGCATTAATTCACCCCAGCTTATTACACAAATTTTTCATTTCACAGATATCTTCAAGCAAATAACTTATCTCAGAGAAGCAGCATATCAATGAAAACTCAATGAACGCTTTCTATCTGTTAATAGCTGATTATTTCATAAAATACAACAAACAGGCAAAAACAATGGTAGGACTGGAACTTAAATAAAGAAATCGTGTGTTTATAACAATTTTTACATTAAATGACTGTAATTAAATCCTGGATTAAAGATGCAATTCAAGTTACTATTTTGAAGCATGATACAATCATATTTAAGCTATGTCATCTAGACCAACATTTTTATACCACAACAATCAAAGATGTCACCCTTGTAATGGTCCCTCAGATGAAGAAAAAATTATTCAAAGACATCCAATGAGTGAGTAAAACAAAAGCATTTGATTGTACTCACAAGTGACAAATAATAGTTAATGCTAATGCACTGAATATTCATCTTCAAATCCTTTTATCACTATCACTTTAGACAGCTGTGTGACAATAACTGGACAGACATGTACATTTTAATCAGAACTGATAAATCGTTTAAAATTGGGAACAACAAACGTGTAGGCAACACCAAATTATTCTCTACAATAAGTTAATTTTTAATGAAAATATCACTTGAATGAAAACCATTTTTTTATACTTCCCAGGATTGTTTCCAATGTGTAAATATTTACATTTTAAATGAGAACATGGGTTGTTAAATAGGTAGGGGTTATGAGATTCCATTTTTGCAAAGTGACTAAAGAAACAATATTTGTCTTCTAAGGGTGAGGACACAACAAATTATAAAATAATAAATAATGCAAATGTATCACTTTCCTTTAAATGCATTTTGTAAAGCTAATGTGAATGTTCTAAAACAATTCTAAAAATACAACTTCTTATAGTCACGTAAAAACTGTTTTTAGCTTCTGTAAGATTTGCCTTTCATGTCTTACTACCTTTCCCATGTCACCACCTCAATTATTATTTATTTTCTACCTAAAATAATAAGGTGGTTACAGAAAATTTTAATGACATTTAATACAAAAATTCAATGTATAATCAAAATATATGTAATTTAAAGAAGATGCATTCATTCGTGTGACAACTTCAAATAAGAAGAAAATCTTCAATTATAAAACTGTTATTATATATAACATCACAATTTTAATTAAACCTTAAAAGTCCATTCCGATTAAAATTTTTAGTTTACATCACTCCTAGAAGGTTGTCAGTGACCACCCCACCCCACCCCCACCTCCAGCCCTGGTCATCTCTTCATAATAATTTTTTTTTTTTTAATTTCAATCACAATAACAACAAATAATATATTAGAATAGCATAGTATTTATAGCTAAAAAAGTGAATGTTAAAACTCCAAAACAATACTAGCAATTTATTACATGGAAATACCTCAGACTAGAATGCAAAACAATGCCAAATATATAACATAGTGTGCAACGAATTAAGATTTAAATGACACTTTTAAGCCAAATTGAAGCAAAAGAAAACACTTAAAAACTGCTTTATTCAATATTATTATAAGCAAAGAAAGGTGAGGAATAATTTTGGTGACAGTGAATGAAGAATACAATTATTGTTAAGAATACAATCGTACTTTTTAATATGACAATTTCTAAATAAGATGAATCCCTCACGCTTGTAGGAATAATCAAACCACAGATTATGTATTGTCTACCCTCCTTTTCATTTATACACTACTGTAACTTGATGATACTTGAATTACTTGCATCTATTACACAACTTCAAAATATGAGAAGCTACAGAACATTATAGCCAAACAATTATCTTGGTTTAAATAAATAAAGAATAAAAGAATTCACAAAATCAATAAAAAATACTGTATAAAACATGATTTATGTAAATGCAGTGGTTTTCTTTTTACAAGACACCAGATTCTCAATTAACTTCTTTAAAAACTAAGTTTCACAACAATGATTTAATTTTTCATCAATTCAAAAACACAGTATTATTTTTAATACTACTAAATTTAAACTCATCAATATTTTCCTCAATCATGCATTGTTAAAATTCAGTTATTGCAATTCATGCACAATTAAAGAAACATAAATAGAATAATATTTATTTTTATAACGCAATTAAAATACTAATTAAATTTTAACATCTCTGAATGATAAATTTGCTTTACTAATTACCTCTTTCATTTGTGTACTCACACGTAATTTTATATTCAATCATACTTTTTACTGTACAAAGATATAATGAAACTTAATTTGGAATGATTAACTCAATGCAATTTTAACACGTGAATAACGAATACTTGCTGGTAGCATACATATTGTAGAACATTAAAAAGGGGAGGTTATTTGTCTTTAAAATTTGAAACACACAATTTACAAAAAAGTAACCAAAAATATTGGAAGTAGAATTTTTTTTAAATGCATTATAACAATTTAAATTATTAAATCAAGGTAAAGAAAAAAACAAATTCAATAAACAAAATTAAAATTATTCCTCAGTTTTCTTGGAAAATACTAACATTTTTAAGGAACTGTTAAATTTTTGTTTTACACAATAATTGACAAAAAAAGAAAGAGTTTGAAGAAAATCAGGTATGATGAAATACACCAACAACTCTCTTCTTTCCTAATTTTCATTAAAATACATAATAAAGTCCATAAAATTCACATTGTAACAATGACCTCCAATTTTATATGATAGTAAAATGTAGCTTTTAACCACAATCAACAATCTTTACATTATTCTTTTATAATAAAAATTAAATGAGAACAGGATTAGATGTTTCTATTTTTGTAAAAAAATACAAATCTTTACAAAAATCAACTCTTTTATTTATAGGAAATAGATCTTGAAACACTTTTGATTCCATTAGACTCTGAAATTGCATAGATAAATAACACTAACAACAAAAAAAGTGACATTATTTCACAGATAACATATTTTCTCTTTAGTCAACTATATACTGACATAAAAATATTACAAGTTGTTTTAACTCGCAAATACAATTGTACAAGTTAAAACCCTCCTGCATTATGTTGTGAGGGAAATAGTCCACCAACATATACATTCAAAGAAATTACAAAACAAAAATTACACCATTACACTAAAAATTTTAACAGAAAAAATTGTATAAAAAAGTGTTTATGCCATGAATGAAACCAGTACATCATCTGTGCAATGCTTACTCTATTAAATTAACAAATTAGATTAAAACATTTAACTAACCAACTTCAGGGTAATCCAAGCAGAACAAGGGCTAGTAACAGAAGCAATGAAGTGAAGACCAAAGCTGGTAATGAGGGCAAGGGAAAAAGAAACATCAAGCATTGCCGGGGAAGATGGCAAAAAGAGACCCTCAGCCAAATGAAACAAAACATCTTGAACCCTGATTCTGATCAGATAAATCAGATATATATATATTTTAACAGCCTTAAGCTTAGTTAATTTCCTTAAAGTTTCTTCAAAAATAGAAACATCTTGCATCTTTATTTAGTTTCCTCCATTATACAATTTTTTGAAAACTTTTGAATGCAATTTGAATATTTTCATATACTTATGAAGTAGATTCCGAGGTTTTTGCTTCTAGCAGAAATTTATCATTAATAACAGATTTAGAACAAATATTATTGAATTTATTTCAAAATTTTTTGAAGTGCAGTGACAAATTCAAAAATATTTCTTTCTTAATAATATTTTATTAACCAAGATAGGGTGGAATCAAGTAAAAACTATATTTAAAATATAACTTGAGTTTGTGACAACAGAGATGAAATAAAAGTATCAAAAATGAAAAGAGCAGATCCTATTGCATTACTGAGCCTAGAAGCTGCTCCATAAGTGCACAATTCTCTGTGGCACCCAGAAAACACTTCATGTGCTTTATATTGTTCTCAATTCTCAGTACAATTTGATGTGGGGGGGTCTGTTCAATACTTTTTAAAAGTACTGACGAGTTCATTATTGCAGTAATGTCATTAAATGATAATGTATTTATAAAGTTTTCAAGCTCTTTTATTCATTATTCTCAATAAATTCAGCTTCACTCAATTACACACTATTAATACCAATACCAACACTTCATGCCAATAACCATCTTACCCGGCTCAAGACTTTATGCTCTCACATCCAAGAAAATATTCTGCTCTCTCTATATCAGTTCAAATAGTATACCAAGTTTCAAAGCTAATTGGGCCTGAAATATACTACTGTTCACTTACCAATGTGTTCATTCAATACCATTTTTGGTCTCATTCAAAATATGTTTAAACAATATAAGTAATAGTTAACTTATTTCTGAGTAATAATACTTTGGCATCATACATCATTATTTAACAGCATTAAAATTATAACAGCTGCCATTAAACAAATATGATACTTTTTAACTACTAGCAGGCAAGGGCAACAGAAGATGAAAATATTCAATTTTTAATGAATTAAAATATTAGAACATCTCTACCCATCACAAAATCTACACTAATCACACACACAATAAAATGCTGAAACACGATATGTAAATATCAAGTATTTTTGTTCCAAGAAGTATACTTGAGATAATTCTATTTATAATATTTCTAAAAGTACAGATGTAATGTGTATGAGTGTAGAACCCCTCCCTAACTCTCCAAAAAATAAAAATAAAAATTCTAGGGCATGTGCCAGCACAACCCCCATCAAGATATTAATTTTTGGCACCCACACATTTTCATGCCGTCACACTTCAAGTTTCACTATATACTAAAATACTAAATTTGTTTTACAAAACAACTTACAAACAATTCATTGATTTTAAATATTATCTGGTAAAATATCAGGTATAAGATATGAACAAAGTTCATTTTCATCATTTATGAATATAACTTTGCTAGAAGTGTTTTCATCCAACCTGTAGGAAAAAACAAAAAAGGGCATGAAATATGAACACTGCTGATGTAATATTAAGTGCAAGAAATTATTAACACGAAACTTTAAAAAAAAACAACTGATAAATACAAAAACATCAATTTATTAATGACATTAAGCATTTCATTATATTTTTTAAAACAGGGACAGAACATGCGCATGCACACACCAACCATCCATGGTGCATGTACTTGATACCGATAAGAGTGTGAACTACTAGTAAAACACATGAGGCGCATGTTACTTGCGTAGCTCACTTAATCACTCCCTGTGCTCTATGGGAGTGCTAAGTCTCATGGGAAGTTTAGTTAAAAATACATACCAGGCTTTAATGATGAGCCAACAACTTGAAAATAAAGTTGGAGCATTCAGGATGAGACAAACACCTAACCGCTCTGGGTAATGGCGACTAAGCAACCATATCAAATTCTTTATCATCTGATAATCCATACAACTCAAACCAAATTCTTTGAGGTCAAATATAATACATAGATTGTCCACAACTTCTTCAAAACATTTCTTGCAGCCCTCTTCCTACAATAAAATAATGCATCAGTTATTACAAGAAATGCATACTCCACATATTTACAAATTAAAATATGAAATAAAATAAATCCATAACAATCAAAAAGAAGATTTTTTTAATGCAGAATCTTTTATATTAATTGGACTATTTAAAAATTTCAAATCAAATTTTTATTGGCAAATAATTTTGTGATTTATTAAACTATATCAGTTATAGGTATTTCAAAACTATTGTGGATAATATCATATAATAATAATAAATAACTAATAATAATAATAATAATAATAATAATAATCATAATATATTATATTATTATTATTAATAATAATGAAATATTTGTTTTAAAATATAACATGTGTTCATTTAAAACCAAATTCTGAAATATGTCATTAGCATATGTTCAATCAGTAACTACCTATATTTAATATTGTATTAGGTTCTCAATATACAAACAAATTAACTGAAATAATGTAATATAAGTACAACCAACAAATATTTTTATCTTTGTAAATTGTTATAAAAGCAAAAATAGCTTTCTTACTAGAACCTAACTTTGAATGACCTGACCCTGATTCACGCATTGGTTCAGGCTCAGTTGTACATACCATACACATAATATCGAATGGTCAATTAATTTTTACTTGAATTCTGAGAATTACACTTTTTAAATCATCTTTTTGAAAGTAAATATAACTTCATACTAAAACCAAAACTCAAATGTTTCTGACAACCCTTACTATTGTGGTTGCCAGAAAGGCTTCCCAAAAAGGTCTCCTTATATAGAATGTCCAAAAAGATATAGGAAAAGTAATATTTTTTTATATTGAAAGTTATGTTAAACAAGTTAATTCAGTTTCCAATTCAATAAGATTGACATATTCATATAAAAATATTAGCATTATAAGTTATAAGCATGTAATATTAGCTTTTATCCTTCATCCAATGTTCGCATTGCCTCAGTTGCTTCACGAAATGAGTGCAGGCCTGCTCCCAAAACTTTTATCACTACCACCTTCACAAAATTAATCAATAAAATCTTGTATCCAGGCTCCTTTAAAAAATATCCACAATATTGATTTTCTTTAAACACAGCCACAATACTTTAGCAATGCATAATCTCATTCAAATCTCATTAACTGCAGCATTAAAGAATGCATTACAAGTCAAGACAATTCTATCAACCCTCCAACTCTAACTGCTATTTATTGAAAAGCTTTGTCAGCAAAGCTGTCATTTGAGTGTTATCACATAAGATGGCAAGCTTCAAACCTAAACAACAACAATCGAAAGAGTTTGGATCCTGTTTATTGTTAACAATGGTAAAGTTTTTGTAAGCAATAATGGAAAAATATAATTATTTTATTTTATGAAATTTAATACTTTAATAAAACCTAAATGAATTGCTTACCTTTACTTATTTAGAAACATAATTACATAGACTACCGAAGCGAAAAAAAAAACGTTCTTCTGAAAAGTTCTTTTGATTTTTTATTGTATGAACTATCATATGAAAGTATATGAGAAAGTATCAAGTAATTAATATTTCTTACCATCACGAAACCTTCAGCCTAAAAATAGGCCCACCTGTTACCTGGGTCCCACCCGCATTGCGGGCACGAACGTACGCCACTGAATTAGTCTTAACTACAGATGAATGTCAATCTGACTGAATTAATTTGTATTTTTTCATTGTTTTACATTCGCTACCACTTCAACTCTATAATATCTTCAAATCATTTCCTCAATAATAATATTTATTGAGTACATGTACTATTTCAATTGTGTGTGATGAATCAAATATGATGAATGCAGTGGAAGAGCAATGTCATCTAGTTCCAGAATCCCTACACTATCTTACACTACAATGAATAAAGCATTTTAATATTTGACAAATAGTCACCCTATATAATAGAACTGCATGGGCAAATAGTCTTCAGATTTGATTTGAATATAGAACTTACAAATATCAAACTCTTCATTCCTCTCATGCCTAGCAAAAAAGAACTCAAGATAACTTGTTTAGTGTGTGAAGTTACATTTACTATCCTTATCTTTGTGATTCTGCCTTGTTAAGAGAATGTCTTTTTACTAAGTTAATACTCAACATAAATATAGCACATATTCCAGAGCCAGTGTGACAATATATTTAATACTCATAAAAAAATTCTCAATTCTTTCCTCTCGTAATACTATTATCTTAATTATCCACTTAAAAATGGAAAGTTAGTCTAAATATCATCCCAAATAAATTACAATAAAATATTAATTTCAAAAATATAAGTGAGCAGAAATGGTGAAAAATTTCTTGAAGTCTATTGACCCCATTAATTACAACTAATAAAAAAAATGCCAGAAGTTATTGTTTAAAGAGTGCATTCACTCAATGACAAATTTAAAAAAAACAAAAGAATTTCTGGTCAGAGACGTTCCAAGAAATATACATATTGCAATCTAGTTATTTGTTTTTTGTTGTTTTGTTTTAACACTTTTTTACAGAATATTTGAGCAGGTATTTTTAATCTTAGGATTAACATGGCATATTAACTTCCATATATACAACAAATAAAAATTATTCAACTACTTCAAAATATTCAAAATTAACCAAAATATAATTGTTTCTCACCAGGCAGTAGACAATGAATTTAGTCAGTTCTTCTAGATCTCTGTCATTAGCATTATGATTCTTTGCTGGTATATATATTATTGGTCGGCCAACCATGTCACGATGGCGTAAAATTCTGGCTTTGTTGGCTTCCAAGTGAGATATAACAATAGGATTTTCTGGAGTAAGAGCTGCAACATCATACTCCTTCCGCCACTTGTTGGTCTTCAAAATTGCCTAAAAATATGAGTGAATATCCAATTACCGTTCTGTGTAAATCTAATTAAATTACACCACGATAAAAAACATAAGACTTACTTGGAAAGCTGCATCTGTAGTTTTGAATGCTTTCAAATATCTTCTCAGAGAAAATTCATTATGATACTGTGACGGGTCAGCAGCAGCTATAAGTTTCATCCTTTCTTTTAAATCTTTCACATCATCTTCGGAAATTACATTGGTTGAATTTACAGACATTTTTGCAAATATGTGAAATAGGTCAAAATCGAAAGTACCGAATGCACAATATGTTGCCAAAGATCACGTCATAAGACTGCACATAACAATAACACAATATTATAAATCGAGGTGTAAGAAGATTACAAAATTCATCAACGATGATTTTCACTAATATTATTGACTCCAGATGAACTTGTAAATAATATTTGCAAAATCACGAAATTCAAACCTTACACTTTGAAGCCATTGTGGTTAGTCTCGATTTCCACAGAACATACAAGAGAAATATTTACTCCACAGCTCAGAATCTGCAACGAAATCCAAACGCGCCATTTCAAAATAATCAATTCGTAAATCAAAAATCATATTTTACAAATTATTACAATATATTTTAATGTATATATATAAACGTACATAAATGGAAATTCTATTGGTCTCTTCACTTTTATTTTTAATTTTCGAGAAAAATGGTTGATATCATCAATGGCTTTTTTTTTCAGCAAAGTTTATTCAAGATTATTTGGGTAAGTGCAAGGTAACTTTCCCGCAAATAAAAACTTTCAAATAACGCACTTGGCCACAACCAAAATCTAGAGATGAAATGAAAAATCTCAATATAATAGTATTAATAATAATAATAATAATAATAATAATAATAATAATAATAATAATAATAATAATAATAATAATCCCTGTGTGATGCCCGAGGGTTTTTGTAGAATAGCGTAACGGGGATCTCCTCCAGTCGTAAAAGGCAGCTGTCCACATAACAGGAGCTCCTGTCCGCTATCCACCCATCTAAAATAGATCCATCTTTCATTCTCCATTCCTTCTTTCGCCGTTTCCTCTATTATTTTGCCAGAATATTCGCTCTACAATTCCTGAGCTGTTTTCTCGAGTCTTTTATCCAAATATTTCCCTCTTTTCTCTACATTCTCCGAAGACCAATCCTACTTGGATCTCTTCACGTGAGGGATGGTCAAATGCAATATAAAGTGTCGGCTATTAGGGCGATGGCAACCCACCAAATAAGATGCCTGTTTGCTATTCTGGAAGCTGGAAGGGGACCTGAGCCTCTAACCTCGAAAAATGGGATCGTGAACCAACTGGAAACTGGGAGATGGGGCAACATCCGAAATAGCCAGCTCTGTGTTTTTGCAGGCTGTAAGTGCCTGAGCTTCACCCCTAGGGTTTGGGTGACACTGCACCGACGGGGCTCTGGTTCAGAAGTGAGAGATGCTTCCACTCTCGACTCTTACCCAAGCCGTCGGTGAAGAAGTAGTTATGAGAAGAAGTCAAAGAATTTGTGAAGCATGCAACTCACCCTTGCAAGACGGTGCTGCGAGTTCTGATATTGGGCTCGCAGTGAGAAATGTATTGTAGCGCGATCTCGGTCAAGGGTACAATAATGAAGTAATAACAGAAATGAAGTACAGAGCCTGACGAGCTTTTCTGGTACTTCTACTTCGAATACATGATATACCGCGTAATAAATCGCGGCAAATATTTTTTTAAATTTATTAATTTTTATAGGAAGGGCCTCGCCATAGCCACGGCACCACGTGCTTCAGTTGTCGTATCATACTGTGCTCAGGAAGCACGCATTACGGTTGTTGATCTGTCTTCGCTCGCCTCTGTTTCGTTCTTATGTTTATTTTGAGATTTATGGTTGTTTAACCATGTCGAAGTTTAATGAAATTTCATTTACTTTTCTTCATTTGAGTTTTAAGTTGTGGTAAATTTACACATTTTTAAAATTAATTTCTTTTTTTCTTTGCAAAATTCATTTAGAATGTGTGATCCATCTTTTCTGGTGAATGAATGTTATAAAGTAAATATTTTCGAACGGGATTCGTACTCAATGTCTACCGGGAGATTGCTAACCGCTCTTCAGACGCGAGGCAGTTCGATTTCCCGTGAATCAGATCAGTTTGTTCCCGGAGGTCTGGCTTATTTTGTTGTCAAAGGAATTTTAAATATTTTGTGCGGAAATCAAAACTTATTATTTCTATAGTGTTAGTAAGGAATTAAAGGTCTTGATCTTTTTGCACCTGCATGTAGTTGGCTTGAATTTGAGATAGTGTATTGAAATAGCGGCACACTTTAAAATTAATATTTCTTTGTGATTTTTTGTGACACATTTCGAAGCACAAAGGACGTGAGTACCTTAACAGAAATGTTTCCTGTGTATCGAAAATCATAAGAATAACATTAGATTTTAGTAAATGGAAGAAAATACGCTATCATAAAATTGGAAAGTTTCGAGTCAAATTAATTTAGCTCTAAACTACATAGAGCTCCGACCCATTGCGGGGTTTGTCGACACCATCGAGCTCGTAACTTTTGGTTCATACAGTACAGCATAAAAGCGCCACATTTGGCATCACTGTCTCCATAAGAGACCGCTCTTCATTCTTAACTTCGAACGCGCCATACCTGTGCCAATGGAGAGAAGTGTAGCCTTCTCATGCCCTCCAGGAAGGTGTGGCGCTGCACACTTGCAGCGTCTACAATTCAAACAAATACTGGGGGTCGTAGCTTGAGTGAGATTATAGCTCGCACCGCCGGACCTCAGAACAAACACAGGGGCATGAAATGGACTGAGTTAAATATATCCGTAAAGCATGCGTGCTTTCTGAATGTTCGATTTGTAGCAAACGTAGAGGGATACATAACATGTTATATGGAAGAATAAGGTTTTGAAGCGAACGTACCGGTAACGGGAAAGAGATAATGCGATCTGCAGCGCACGAACATTGTAAGGAACTTTCTTCAACTATTGTGATAATTACAAGGAGAAAGTACGAGAATCCTTGGGTGTGAAGAATAGGAAGGAAAATGATGAAGAAGTAATGAAGAGCCAAAAGCAAATCAGGAATAGTTTAGGGAGGTGGATTCTGATCAATCCTGCCATCAAGTGCCTGGGTTGGGCATTATGAAGCCATGAAGATATATTATCATGCTATCTCCTTATCCTCCCGGCCTCGCAACCCGCGAGAGGGGTATGGTTCGCGAACTCATGCGGCGATGGAAGCTGTCAGATACTTGCTGAAGGAAGATGTACAACTATAAACATCGCTTGAGGAAGTGGTAAGCTAGTGTGTATCTTGAGCAGCCGTTGCTGTTGTACAGGGACTTGGTAAACCTATAAAGGACCCTTTTAAAATATCTAGATAGTACAGCCCCATGTTGAAGCATATTGAATTCAAGATTAAAAGCTCCCCGCGGGGCATAAGCACTCTCACCACCTATTCCCTGTGGGCGTCCGTTAACACGAGGGCAGAACCGTTAGGTCGTGAAAGTACGCTGCGGGGGAAGGGAAGGGGTTGAGCTGAACATCCGGGAGTTTGCGCTCGGGCGGTGACTCAGTAGTGCCGCAGAGCCAAAAATACCGAGGCTTGTAACTCCGAGGAATGCTGGCCGGCGAGCCTCGTTTACGGAACAGGCAGCCAACCTAAAGAACCCTGTGTGAGGGCGTTAACCAAACTGCGAAGTTCGCGCCAGCCTGCGAGCTACTATGGAACAGTGGTGGGGGTGTCAGCTCAACTATTTACGCGGCGCCATCTGCGCCGCGTTCTGCATTCAGTTTGCATCGGGGAAAGCTTGTACGTGTGTAGCAAGGGGTGTAGGAGGTGTGGGGCGAGTGTCCGGAGAGTAAGGGCCAGAAATTCACGTGCGTAGCACACGTCGCCACGACCGGGTAAATTTTGGCGTCAGGCCATGTGACGTAATTGTCAGGGACCGCGGTCCGATAGCGCGCATGCACGCGTGGCTTTGTGTTTTCTGCGGTAAGCAGTGTTCGAAGGAAAAGGTTGCGAGTATCTTTAATATAGCAATTCATTGTAACTTGTAAATAATCTTTGAATATATTATTTTTATTTGTTATTGAAATTTATTTCTTTTTTACTAACGTCACGACTCGAACTTTTTTTTCTTAATGGTGGCAGCGGTTTTTACGAACCCACGGGATAGGTAAGTGTACCACAAATTTTTCTTAATTGGTACGGGTAGTAAAGTGTACCCACCAAAGTTTTTCTAAGTGGTGCAGTTGGTTTTACGAAGCCCCATGGGCAGCAGTTACTAGTAAGCAACGGCAAAGAACGCGAAGTAGCTGTTGCAACCGCGGGAACTGGCAGTGCGGCGCCTGAAGTCATTGGTGGCGCGACTGGAAATACTGAACACTACGCGTTGTCATCGGAAGTGTTTGGTGTGTATGGAAGTGGTGGCGTATTCACGTAGTGCGGCAGTGTGGCACGCCACGTGTAAACGAATGTGCGGTAATTCGGTAGAAGTTTCGGGGCGATACATGTCCGACTCGAACCTTTTTTTTGTCCGCTTACTTTGGAACTGGGAACTGGACTAGTTGACGTGTACGGGGACTGTACATGGGTGTGTAAGTCGATGCGAGTCGAGCCGGGAGTGGGGGATGAACCGCCAGAATGTCGTAGAGCCCTCCTCTGCCCGAGCCTGCTACGGACCACAGAAAACAGAGAAGAGAGTACAGCCACTGAGGTTGACTGCAACGGGAACCAGATGAACCCAATAACCGACAGTCGAGACCAGGAGGGACGGCGCAATGAAGGCTACCCGAAATAATGGGCACGAGGTGAGATCAACTCTCGGAAAGATACTCAGATGACCCCGCCATACGAGCTTCTGAGCATACTGATGTTACCTTTCACAGCCAAGAACCCTCGCCGCAGTTTACCCCCATATACCCGCGACAACTCTAGTCCCCGCATGTGCGAATTATAGATGTGTAAAGAAGAAAGGTGTGTATGAGGTACGGACTTCCGTCCTTTTGTTGAGTCTCGTAATATATTCGAATGCTGTCCCTCTATGAAGTGTACTTCCTGGTCTGGTTGGTAATCTTTTTAATGAAAACTCCATTTTAATTTTCGCAGCTGCACATATACGCTGCACACTTTTGTTGCTGTCGTGCTTCAACTAGAAGGCAAGTATCGTGAATAATGGAGTTTGTTATCTCTAATTCCGTTTGCCTAAATTTCTGTTGGCAAGCTGTTCGATGAATGTCATTAGAACGTGTCGATTTTCTACAATAGAATTTATTATAGTGTCCCGTTCTAGATCATTTTTACATTTTGTCTTTTAAATTTGTTTTGTACTTACTGAAAAGTTATTTGTTTGCCTCATTGCCTTTCTAGCTGACGAGTAAAAAAAACATTTTCTCTGTATATCCTTTTTTTGCATTGAGGTTCAAATTTTATTTTTTGAAATTTAGTGTATTAAATACTGGATTTTTATCAAACATTTACAAGGTTAT